CTGGCTTAGGGTTCTCGGGGGCGGGCAGGGAGCTCACCCGCCGGGCTCCCTGCGCTCCTCCGGCTGCAGCCGTGTCGCCGTCTGGTCGCCTTTGTTAGGGCTTGTCCCCCGCCGGGACGTTCTTCAGTTCTTCCCCTGCCGGGGCGCGGGCTCGGGCGGGCAGCAGACACCGATGGAGGGGCTGGAGTTGGGTCCAGTAAACGAGTAACTCCCGCACTGCGTTTTGTAAATGTACCGCAGCGCAGTGCGTGTGGCACAGGCAGGCTAGTTCTGCGCAAAACCGAAGGCGAGGAGCAGCGCAAGGAAACTGGCGGAGCTGAGCGGGGTTCGCCACCGCGCCACCGAACCCGGCAGGGCCTGGGCTCCGGTACCCGACAGCTCTGGCGAGGGGAAGGGCAGGCGGCGCAGCCTGGGCCTCGCCTGCTCCGGACCAGGAACTTGGCGTTACAGCAGCAGAAACGCTGCATTTGCCTTTGACGTGTTTCATGAACGTACAGTGCGCTGTAACGGCACCGTCAGGGGCAGACTCGAGGCAGAGCAGGTAGGAGTAATCTGCTGTCACAGGAACAACTTGCATGACCTATTATATTTGTGGAGACTACTTTTTGCGCTGGCAGTTTGAGAGCTGGTTTCCTAAATGGTTACCTCTTTGTTCTGCATTTGCTGTTTCTTGAAAAAGGTGTAGCTCATGCGGTTTAAATGTTGGGCTTTTTTTAAATTCAGAATTAATTTCCTTTGGTCTTACGGCTTAGCTGTTGTTTGCAGTGAGCTGTCACGGAACTTTCCTTACACTCTGCGTTACATGACAGTCATTAACGAAGTAGAGGATAGTGGTTGGTTTGCTTTTTAACCTGATGGGGGAAGATCTTGTTTTTCTCAGCACCTTACTTGTATAGGTCTGTCTTAAACACACAGGGATTGGTCACTATAGTGAGAAGACAGCTTTGCAGAGACATGATCTGCCCCTGGTGTTTTTTTTTCCCCTTCCTGTTTTTTACCTGCGTGATGTTTCTGCCAGTGAACAAGACCAGTTTTTCAATGTTTTTGTCTCTTATTTTGGTAGTGCCTCATATTAACTGGTTACTAGTCCGTTTTGTAAGGAAGTTGGCCAGAGGAGCTTTTACTTGGCAAATGGCAGCACACTAACCTGGTGTAGAAGAGTCAGCTCTAATTTGTGTTCTACTTTGAGTAAGGAGCTTGAGTTCAGTTCCCACTCAGTGATGAAGGTGTCCCAGATAAGTGTGGACTTACTGCTCCTGAAAGAGTCCAAAGTCAAAATAAGAGCACAGATGGATTTTCAGCACCCTGAGGATTTGAGGAACCATAAAAACCAGAGAAAATTCCCTGTGTTTGCAGTAAAGCTAGAATGTGAACATTTTAGAATATTCTTTTTTTTTTTTCCAGGTTTATACTATCAACTTGGAATCTCGTTATTTACTAATACAAGGAGTTCCTGCATTAGGTGTTATGAAGGAATTAGTTGAACAATTTGCATTATATGGTGCCATTGAAGAGTATCATGCTCTAGATGAATATCCAGCAGAGCAATTTACTGAAGTTTATCTTCTAAAATTCCAGAAACTACAATGTGCAAGGTATCGGACAGGGCAGTATCTGCCTCTTCTTGTCTTAATCTTTTACAGCTTCTTTATATACAATCTGTTAAGATTCTAGAGACTTGAAGTGAAATCCTCAGTTTTGCCAATACAATTTAATTCCCTTCAGGGTGGCCAAGAAAAAAATGGATGAACGAAGTTTCTTTGGTAGTTTGCTGCATGTGTGCTACGCTCCTGAATTTGAAACAGTCCAAGAAACCAGGGAGAAGTTGCAGGACAGAAGAAAGTATATCGCAAAAACAACAAATCAAAGAGGTTTGTAATTAAATTTCCTATAGAATGTTAACAGCTCACTTCAGGGGTGAGTGAGGTTTTGGCTGAAGTGCCTGTTAAAGAAAATGCTTTTTATCTACTTGTTTTGAAGATGCTTTTTAAGTATGCTTGCAGCAGAAGGGAGACATCTTTCAATATTTAGAGGGCTGGATCTTTTTCAGAGCAACTTTTTATTTTTGGTTAAGACTAAAATAAATGCTTAAGCTTCAGTAACAAAGTATTTCCTTCTCTTTTTGTTTTCTTTTCAAAATGTTATCATAAATTTCAAGCACTGGCAGAAAATTTGGGATTATCTTTGCACCCTTGTTCTAGTTTATTCAGGCATGCCCACAGGGAGAGTTTTGTAAGGGAAGTAACTACACCAGAACCTTCCACAAAAAATTTCTCCAGCCTACACTGGAGGGATGCTAAGAATGGACTGGGTTTACAAAGGCTACTGTACTGCAGGGATCCCAGGCAGCACTGAAGGCTGGGCAAGTGGAGAAATAAGGAAATTGCTTAGCACGGGCTTCTTTTTCCTTGTGCTTATGTACTTTGATATCATTATTCATTGCATGAGGATGTTTAAAGGGAGTAAAATAATGTGATTTTTAACATGATTTTTTCAGCATTGCACAGCAGCCTGTCCTTCTTGAAATAATAGCTAGTGGTAAAAAATAATTGATTTGCACATTAGAAACATTTTCCTCGTGTTCTCCAAACTGCTGAAATACTTCTGCTTAGGCACTCCTTGCAAACCACCAGAGGGACTAAGCTGAAAAACTTTAGTTTGAAAGGTGCCACGTAGGAAAAAAGAAATCACGGAAAGGTGGTTGGGAATACAGTGTTGCTTCTGTAATCATATTACATGGTTTGTTTTCTTATATGTTAGAACTAATAATGACATAAAACAGTGAAGCTACTTTTTTGTTCTTTTAAAGATTGCTTTTTGTTACGGAAAGCAGAGGGGCCTAAGAAGACAGTCTCAAAGAACTCCAAGCCTGAGTGTCCATGGAGTATGTCAGGATCATGTGCAGCCAGTAACTGGGATCCATCCCACTTTACAAGTTCTCATGGGGTATCTCACAACATAGGGCATCCATCTGGGAATCATCAGCAGAGCCCACTGACACTTCCCCATGGTAACAGTTGTGGTGAAACGTCTGGGTACTTTGGTCAAAACACACTCCTAACTCCCAGTGTACATCTGGGAGGACATACTCCACCAGCTAACTTAATGCAGCGAAGAACGGTTCCGATTGATAATGGAGTTGACCGGTTTATGCCTCGTACAACTCACCTCCAAGAACGTAAGAGGAAGAGAGAAGAAGGTAACAAGTTTTCTCTCATTGGAACAAGTGTGGATAATACTGAAGTCATTATTGGTCCCCAGCTACCAGAAATACCTAAAGTGGATATGGATGATGATTCATTGAATGCTTCAGCTGCATTAATTCGAAATAAACTAAAAGAGGTATGGATTATGAAAGTTCTGATATTTTCATTTTCAAACATACGTATTTTGTGCTTGCTATCCATAAAAACAGAGATCCTAAGATAACTGAATTTAACACTTACTCAGCATTATCAGTTTTTCCCACTTAAAGCTAGTTGTTACTATTCAGCTCTTCCATAATGCAGAATATTGCAGGTTATTCTACTCCAAATCTCTTACACTACACTTGAGAAAGTATAAATGTGTGTGATCCTAAATGATTTTTAGTAAACTACACTTTTTCCACGTGGAGGAGCAAGATAACTCTGGAGGTAGTCCTTCTGACTCCAGTGTGGTACTTGTATGTGGTTTCTGATTGAAAGGGGGAGGGAAAAAAAAAAAGTCCGAGTTCAATGTAGTTTTGCTACAGCACTTCTTATGGCACTGTAAGATGTACAGAATCACACATGGTATGCTGAGAAGCATGTCTTAAGCTATATAACCTCTTAGGCAAGGTATTAATTAGCAGGTCAAACACTTCTGATACAACTTTCCATTTAAATTAAGATATGAAAAAGCTCCCTTGACTGTGACTAACTAGACTGATTTGAAAGAGGTTATCTCCAGTCAAACTGATAAATAGGCACTTCTTATATTAAATAAATTTCTAAAATATGTGATAGTTTTGCTTTCCTTTCCCTTTCTGAAATACCTGAGTTTAAAAAGTGTAAACCTTACTTTGAAAACACCTCTGGTAGGGAGAGGAGTGATACAGATATTGTAATACTCTATATCATTTGAGTATCTGAAATAATTTTGTGGTTAAAATACAGAAGCGATACTGTTAACACTTAGAAGTTTCATCTCTTTTGTGCATAATGCTGCCTTTGTTGTTATTTTTTCCCCTTTTCTGCAAGAAAATTAACTACGTGTGATTATAGTAATACATCCCTCCTAATACTCAAATTTTGGAGATATGACATTAAAAAAAGCTGGTTACAGTTTACTAAGAAATTTTTTTTTTCCTAATTTAGGTAGCAGATTCTGTTTCAAGAACATCTGTGGAAAACCCAGAATGCAGCTCAGCCAAACCACCTGTAAAGCAGAGAAGAAGAATATAGATACTGCTGGCAGCATCTTCCAACAGTCCCTTTTTAAAGGATATAGTTTAAAATTGTTATTTTTTTTAATGTAAAAAGTGAAACTACTTTATACTGTATTTCCAGGCCATTCCCTGTTAAAAATTGTATCAATTTGTTTCTTGGAATGAACAATACTACATTGTGGTTACAGTCTTCTCCTGTGTACCTCATGATAACATATTTCATAACTCATTGAAGAACTGTATTTAGGTAAAGTAATAGAAGTAAATAATATTTATTCAGTAGCTTTCACAGTAAAGGAATACTGAAACTTAGTAATAGTTTCAGGTTGCTCCTATTTTTACTATACCGTGAAGAATGGTGAAGAGAAAGTCTCTTAGAACAGTATTCCACTTGGAGTTACAGTTTACGGGTGTCCTGGAAAGTTTTCTGCTCAAATGCCATACTGCTCTGTTTCAAAAAAAAAAAAAAAAAAAAAAAAAAAAAAAATATCAGTTAACTAAAGGATTTAAATTGAATTGAAGATGCAAAACCAAAACATGTAATCAGGGACACTTAAGCTACCTCTTTCTTTTTTAGCTTAGAAAAGGTAAATTCCATAACATTAATGATGTCATCACTGAGAGACCAGGCAGAACATTCAAAGTCGTAAATGAAGAGGAAATTTGGATTAAGTGCTCAGCAGTGCTAATGTGTAAGGAATGATCTGGCACAGAGGGTAAGGCAGCCCAGCTGCAGAGTGAGTTAAAATGCCTGCAAGCAGGAATATAGGGGAGTGAGATGACAGTGTAAAGGCCTGAAATTTCCCTTGGTGATGTGATAAATACCCACAGCATTGTGTTCTAACAGTCCTGGAGTGGGAAGTGCTCATGGGCCACCTTTGGGCAGTAGAACTGGTGCTGGGGGGCAGGGGGTGAACCCAGCACTGGAATTAGGTGCCCCACACTGATGCTCCCAGGGTTGGTGCTGGTGCAAGCATATGTAAAGAATCAGCTCGTGGCACATCTCTGCCAGCTCATTGTTGAAAAGCTTATGGTGGTAGGACTCTGTCCAATACATTATTTGTTACATTTTTTTAAAAAAGTACAAATTAGTGTTTGTGTTGGGGGTACAATTAAATTTCCCCAACATAACCCCACTGGGAAATCCAGTAAATTATTAAGTTTTCTTCATGCAGAGCTCATAGCTGAAATTTATTTATTGCTTTTAGGACTTGAAAGGACATGTAAATAAGAGTTCTCTTTTTAGCAGTGAAACTAGAGACCTAGTAAAAAGGCAGCAGTTGAGTACAGAACAGGGAACACAATACTGTAAGCAAGAAACAAGCCCAGTTTTCCACCTCTTGCCATGATTAGCCTGAATTGTGCATCCGCTTTATCACCAACACTGACAGAAAATGTCTTTTTTTCTGTGCTGATTAGTGAACGTAATTTTCTGAAACTTTTTAAAGCTTTTTCACTGCTGTAAAAAACAAAGTATGCACTTACCTGGGTTTTCCCAAACCCTTGAAAGTCTTTTGACAGCCTGCCAGAAGTCTGGCGTTTTGGAAACTGCTGTTTTACAGCTGACATGATGTTGTCATGCAATCATGGCTGCAAGACTCCTCCCTCCTGTGCTCCTGCCCCCCAGGTAGGTGAGCTGGCAGGAAGTGTAGGTTTCCAGCAAATAAAAGCCTGCCATGTTCTCAGCAGCCTTAGCTTTTGTTTCTAGGAATTACTGCATGCATTTCAGAATTTTTTTTTCCATCTCTATGAAGGCACAACTTTCAGTATTTACAAATGACACACAGTTCAAATAAAATAATGTTCATTAGATTAGGAAAAAAATATTTATTATAGAGCAGAAGCACTCTCCACAGTTGAACTTAATGCTGAGAAAATGAGCATGTTCTAAATTACCATCTTCCCCCCCAAAAAAAACCCCTCTGAATTGAATTAGGTGTATTGCTAATAAATAAAGCCTGGTTAGATGTAATTAAAAAACAGCAGTGCCACATTCTGAGATGAAGAAAGTTCTCAAGGTATTTTTTTCAGAAAGTTACCAGCCTCTCCTGAAAGAGGCTGTAACTGAGGTAATGGCAGTGTTGCCATCAGTTGCCAGTGGCACTGAAGAAAAAAAAAAAAATTGTATTCCTAGACAGCTTTCAGATAAACAATTTGAGAGAATGGTCTCATTTTCTTAGTCTGAGAAGGTTCTCACTGAGGATCATTCTTTATATTGCTGCCCTGGGACAGACAAACAGAGCAGAAACTGTTCTTAAATCCTCTGGTACCAGTGTTTGACTGTGTAAGGAAACATCAGTGCTGTGAAAGGCAACTGTGAACTCAGTGTATGTGTATCACAACTGAAGCATTTCTCAGTTGGTACCAGCAGGCCCCATGTAATGACAGTTAATACCGTATTACGTACATCTTGTTTACCAACACTACAGGAAGTATTGTACTTCCTTTTTAAACTCAAGGATGTACCTTTATGTCTGGCAAACATGGTCCAAAGGCTTCTAAGAGAAGAATTTCATCTCTGACTGCTTTTTCAAAGTCCGTAAAAGAAAGCTTGCCGTCATGATCATAGTCCTACAAAAGGAAAGGAACTCTTCAGCAAAGGAGGGTTACTTGTAGTATTTGGTTTTTTGTTTAACAGGTGTTTCATTGCCATGGTCTATTTTTAGTGTGATTGTACGCAAGAATCATTTTCTTTGGGCCATCAGTCTCTGCTCAGACAAGATCTGTAGCATTTGCCTCTACCTGAGGAGTGAAGGGTGAAGCAAGCTCAACTATCTTATATGGCTTTGCTAAGAGAATTCCAGAGAAGGCAAAACATTTATGTGGGAAGAGGCTTAGCTGAGAATTGTACGGACAAATCTCAAGCACATTTGCACTGAGATAAAGTAGGAGAAAATGTTAGGTATATTCTATAGATGTATTTATGTCATGAGTCTACCTACATCCTATTCATGAGGCTGGAAATAATTCCCCCTAGTGATTTCTACAGTAGGCATACTTCTGCCCTGTCTTTTTCACATACAACACCCAGAAGCATATGGTGCAATACGCTGAAGCCAGCCCACTTCTTTCATACTGCAGAATCTCAGCACATTCCTCTGAGGGTAGGAAAACCATCCTTGTGTTTTCAGTATTTCTGCAACTTGAACACCTCCTGTTTCTACTGATGTTAGCTTCAAACACCAACAAATGCTATGGTGAGTGTAAGTACTTCCTTAAACCGCATAAAGTAAGGCTTTAAGTGGAGATTGATGAGTGGGTATGACCAGTGTTCAAGGCACAGGGCCAAATCAAAATTTTTGAAGATCAAGCCACGGAACCATCAGAGCTGGTCAATGTGCAGGGAGCACAGGTTCTAATGGCTAGAAAAGCAGAGGGCAAGAAGCTGTGTAGACAGAGCATCCTAAACAGGAAAACCTCCCACTGGATGCTTAAGAGAAACAGAAGTGACTGGGTACCCACTACCTTTTACGCTCCTCAGCACAAGGGAGAGCACAGCATGAGTATGTTCATTACAAATACTTTTAAGTACGAAAAACAATATCATGGGACTGGTCACAACACCATTGTACCTACAGGCAGTTGCTCCAAGAGTTATTTTTTCTCTGAGTGATGGACTCCACAGATGCATTTTGGGGTATCTAATAGTTGTTTAGTTATTTGAGATGAGCAGCAATATCCTACTTGGACAACTGCCCAGCAGCCAAATCAGATCTGGACATTTTTCAAACACGTATCAGAGCTTTATTAAGTTCCTACGGAAAAGCTGAAACAGGTTTATGTACATGGTTAGTTTATAACATGTTCTTACATATATGAAGATTCATTATGTCTAGGCCATAGTGCTTGTGCTTGGACTAGCACAGGCCACTTATCAACTGCCCAGAACATGAAGGTCTTCACTTTGGACACAACCTGCAGGAAAGCTGTGCATGTCGGTGCTCCAAAGATGAACAAATTGCTGAGTCATAGCTTGCTTTCTGTGAGACTACATACAGCGTTCTCAAGAACTAAGGGTAAGATGGATCTTTCAGCTGAGGGTGTGCAGAAGGGGTGGGTTTGAAAAATAGGAAAGATGGGGTTAAATAAAAGGAGTTGGGATTCAAGACCTGGTTTTATGTGAGATTTTTTGAACACCACCATAGGAGGGGAGGTTGTATTTCTTGATTTCATGAAAATGTTGAAACACTGTCCCTGGCTGATCTGGATATCCTAGATTAATCACGGTAAGACGAGTTTTACATTGATAACCTTGAGGTTACTATTGTAATAGAATACATAAATTGGATAAAGACATTCATGATCAATTGATAAAACACAACTGTACTTAATTATAAAGCCACTGTAGATGCCCAACACTAGAATAAATGCAGGTTAACACTTTTGAATTTTCAACATTTGACTTGGCTTTTGTTTTGACTGGGCATGCATACGTGTGTATGCACACATATACATGCTAGCTTATACATAAAGTATGTAATAGATTCATACAATAAATGAATATTTTCATTGAGGATACTGGACTGGGACTCAATAGATCTGGATTTTATCTCTGGCTCGGCTTAGGAGACTTGTTTATCTCAAGTACATAACTAAGTCTGTGGCTCAGAATCGAACTGTAAATCAGACACAGTATTTTGTTACCTCATAGGAATGTTCTAAGTTTCACTTAACGAAGGTTTGAAAGACACTCCAGTTTCACAGTAAGTACTTGCCATTTTCTTCAGTGCTATGTCTACCAAGTCCTTGATTCCCTCATCAGGATCTTCTTCTGATGGTTGTTTGAGAAGGCTGTTTTTCAGCATTTGAAACATTTCCTCTCTTGAAATGTATCCATCACCATTCAGGTCGTAAACCTCAAAACAGTCTTTTTGAAAGATAAACCAATTTAAAGTACATACAAACTATATCACACACCATTAAACATGTCTGTTACGTATAGACAGAAGATGAGAATTGTTATGTTGTACAGATAACCTATTGAGCCACATTTACCATATATAATATTTACATATAATTGCTTATTTAGCATTCATAGTTAAAATCTCATTCTGCTCAAATAAAATCTTCAGTTCACAGTAACTTACAGGACTTAACTTCTCTAACATTGTCTACTTAGAATATAAACAAGGTTCTGGTTTAGAAGCCAAATTTCCCATGGTGGGGACCAGCTGTCTATGTCAGGACTTTACACCTGCAAAAACCAGCCTCATTATTTCAGAAGCTAGGCTAGAAAAGTAAAGTAAAAGGAAAAATGAGCTGTACTAGCATGGAAAAGACAAGCAAAGTATCCCTTGGTGCAAAGAGAAAATCCCTGTAAGAGTATTTTAAGGATGAGTATGCCTAATTGCTCTTCTGTTTCTACCTCCCCAGAATCAGAAATCTAAAACCATAATAAACTTTACTATCCTTCACAAAACTTACTTAAACAAACCAACCAACCTCTTCAGTTCTGGAACCTAAGAGGGGTTTTCTCCTGATAAATACTATGTCTACAGTGAAAAAATGTACTGGCATACAGTTACGACAGACAGCACTGTATATCACTATGCAATAATATATAGCACTTATGGCAGGGCTGTGTATTTTACTGCTTGTAGTTGTACTGACATACTGAATTACACCCTGGGCACACATCCTAGTGTTGTGACATCACAGGCTGCCTTCCAGATGAATTTATATAGTGCATTAGGGATTGCTGACACTGCAACCTGGGAACTATGGAAACAGCATGCTGTCATTTTCCTTTTTCCTCACATGCCCTGTTTTTTGTGTTTCTTTTTTTTTCTGCTTGATAAAATTCTCCAGTTCTTGCTTACTTTTTTTCTGCCCTATCTTTCTCCGTCATTACTGTGGAGGTTCTCATGACCATCTTACAAATAGACTCAGTTTTTCCATCTATACTTCCAAGCTGAAAAACTGCTGGAATTAATGCAGTTGCTGCTAAGTGTCCCCATTGTGCCAGCAAATTAATGTTGGCACAGGTCTTGGTTGGCTTGAGACTGTGTTATTTAACCAAAATTACCCTTGAGCTACATCTGTTTCTTTCTAATTTTGTGTGAATACAAAACCAGACATTCCATCCAAACTGTATACTATAGGACAAGCTTAGTTCAAATGCTTGTTTTGTAAGCAACAAAATAAGGTGGCAGCTATGATAATGCCAGTTTAGACACAAAAACGTGTCTCAGAGAAGCCATTTCAGAACTCAGTTTCTTTGCATTAAACTACAGGGAAGAAAATATTCAATTACCAAATGCTGTATAAGAGTAACTACTAAATTATAACAAAAGCAATGGGTAATTTAATAGTCATGAATTCAATGATTACTACTAAATACTGGCATACAGATGAATCTTACATTTAATCCTTTCTTCCAGTGTCCCTCGAAGAAATACTGATAAGCCTTCCACCCATTCCACCACACTGATGCAGTTATCATTGTCTCTATCAAAAGTGTGGAACACTGGGAAATGTATTAGACATGTTTTAAATTTATGTATTAGGGAAACACAAACAAAGGAATATTTTCTTAAATTCAATGAAAATATAAACCCGTATTTTTTCTGAAGATGCTTCTCTGCTTTCACCAAGGTATGATTACCCCTCTTAAAACTTTCTAAGATGTAACAATGAAGAGGATTTTCCCCCTCAGTTTACTGATCTTTCACTCCAGAATCCTGCTGGGATAAAACATATGATCTGTTGCTTTCCTTGACTGAATGGCAGGAAGTACGCTTCCATGCAGATGTAAACCAAATAAACCAATATCCCTTACACTAAGGCACAGCTGCATACTGAAGATTTTAATTACTAGGTTTTCTCTCAGAAAGTCTTGGAGAAAGTAATCTGCAAAACAATACATAAATATTTTAAATATACAGAAAAATAACCTTCTACCTTTCATGTACCAGAATTTTTTTTCTGTTCCCCTCCTTAAGAAACTTTTCATTTTGCAGCTTCACTATTCATACAGCCTGTAATATAGTACTTCAAATCCAAGATACAATTCAAGGCATCAACTACCTATACTAATCAATATTTTAGAATGTTAATTAGTAAGTTGGCTACAGGAACACCTCAACACGCAGAGCCAAGCATTTTGGAACTGGAGTTTAACCCGGTAAAGCGAATGATCAGAGTCTTGGGGCCGAAACGATCTCAACCTATTCTCAAACTTGGAAAACAGTACTGGAAAACAGTATGTTTGCTTTTGCAAAGTGAAAACATCCCTCGTGTATGTAAACATTATAATAATTTTAAGAAGATGGCTCTGTAGGGTATCTTCCAAGAAACACTTGACTTGTGGCATAAAATGGCAAAAAAAGTTTTATTTTATGGCATTTAAATACCCCTCCTGCTAGGGAACAGGAGAAAGCTGAACCAAGGGGTGGCTCTTGATAGACTCATGCCTCCTCCACATCCTCTCGACATCTGTACCTCACAGATCATTCATGCGACTTTCACAGCAACTGCAATGAGGCCCTCGTTATTAATCCGTGCAAACACTGTTATTTTGAAGCAGTTACTTGGCTCATTACTCTCATCTCCCCGTATCGTTTGCCTCGCCCCTTCAGAGCTGTTGACAGCACCTCTATCGCAGAAGTTACCTCCTGTAACCGAATGCCCTTCTGGGAGCTCCGAGCCCGAGGCAGAGCTGCCCGTCAGCGGCAGCAGCTCCCGGAGGAGGCGAGCGACGCCATGCTGCCCTCTTCTGTCACGACACCGCGGTGGCTGCGACAGAAACAGCCACAGGGTAGCAGCACTACAGCTGCCTCTGGCTCGTCTCCCTTCTACCAGAGCGTGAGTCACTAAGGAAAAACCATTCCGCATGAAGAAAAAAAAAAAAAGATACCCTTTACTCAGCAGCTCCTGGGCATAACCCCTCCTATGCTGTCCTTGCAGGGATGAGACGGCACTGTTTTCTCCGGGCATGCTCATCGGGTCAGTAACGATAAAAATCACAATCTTACATCTTTTTTAGAGCTATGGCCCTCACCTCTGTCCATGATCATGTCGTCCGTCATGCCAAAGGCACTGTACAGAGCGTCTCTGAACGTGCTCCGGCTCAAGCCCGCCGCAGCAAAGCGGCTGCCGGACTCGGCCACCAGCGTGTCGAAGAGCTGGATCAGACGTTCCACTTCGCTTTTATTGACTGTCTCGCCGAAACACAAGCGACATGTCAGAACTTCAGGTGGTAAAAAGGAAACGACACGGCCCGGACACCTCCGGTGTCAACCGCCGCCCCGTTCCCCCCCCCCGCCGCTCCAAGGGGGCGGTGAGAAGTTGCCCCCTCGGGGGTGGGGAGGACCTAGGGCCGCCGAACGTGCACGGGCACAAGGGGCGGCGGCGGCGGGGAAGTGGGGG